GAAAAGGGGGGTTAGGTTCCAAAAATTAGAAAACATGTTGTTAAATCCTTATTTAAATCGGATTTATTATTCATTTTTTTCATAGGTAAAATGCTTATTTATTATTTAAGTAAACATTTTACTAGAGGATTATTCATTTTATATGATGATCTCAGCATGAGCATCATCAACTGGTAACAGTTTTTGGGTGAGTTCGTTAATATCGGTCACTCTGCAACAAGAATGCGCTGCTGTTTATAGGCATTTAGGAACAACGGTGAAAGAAAGGTGGCGGCGCCCGCACTATCGATAGTATCGTGTGGAGGAATCTATAATTCTAAAATGAGCTTTTAGAGGCAAAAGAAGGTTCCCAATTGTAAAATTTAACCATTAAATGGATTATTTGTTGAAAGAGCATTCAAAGTAGCCACGAAAACAATTAGAATGCTCGCGCGGAGTTACGCGGAGGTATAAAAGAACGCACCCTTCATTACATTTTATGTTGTACTGTACGAGGGTTTTTTTAACCAATTTCCAAATCGTGTTAGAGGGAACCCGTGCTATAAAAGCACCGTGCTATACGGGGGATGTTCCCAATTCTCGAACCGTGTTAGAGTGAATCCGTGCTATAGAAGTGCCGTGTTATTCGGGGGTTATCTGTAATCTTAAATTTAAATAAAATTTTGTCATTTAATTAAAGTAATGGTGAGTGTCACAGTTGATGTCTGTACCAATGAATTCAACTCTACCAACGAAATTCTCAGCTTCTCAGAATTTATATCTAGATCCGGGAAAATTCAATTACCGAAAGCAAAAAGAGAAGTTTTTCCGAACTTTTGGAAAATTTAGGAAAGTTTAAAATGGCTATGTCTCATATAATTTTCGACGAATTTTATTAAAATTCATTTATGGCCAATAAAGTACATTAAATTTTTATGTGTCTTTTAAATTTTTGTGTCTTTAAAAGCTTAAATAATAAGTCTAACCTGTAATCGATCAAATATAACAGAGTAGGCTCTGATAGAGGGCTCACTTAACTATACTAACCAATCCACACTTCTCAGCGTGAGATGGAAATTTAAAATAAAATTATATTTTTTGTTTTCGCATCGTTCATTGTTGTTTTCTTTGGTTTGATAAGAAAGTGCCAGTTCAGTCAGTTTTTTTTAAACTTGTTTTCACATTTACATCTTCCAGAACTTCTATTCACTATCTAACTAGTTTGTCCTACTGTTTTATAGAAGTACAACATCGAAAAGAGTTGAAATTGGGGCTTTTTTGCAAAAACAACATATGTCAAAATTATGCGAAAATGGGATTTTCATTGCATTTGGCAATCCTAATAGTGAGTGACTTGCCCATGAAATATTATGCAACAACAGAGATATTCTACATAGAAGATTTTGAGATTTTACAAAATATCATCAGAGAATGTTAGGATTTATTCACAGATGCTGTAATTGTTAGGGACACCCGCTATTTTTGTGAGAAAGATTGACTTACAAAACGGCCAACTACATTTAAAAGTATTCTGGATTGCAGTAGCTTCAACACCATTGAAAGATGTCGTATATTGGTGGGTGTTTGCAGTCAAGAAAGAAGAGAAAAGATGTTATTTGAGAGGCCAAAGTTCGGGAAATTAGTCAAACAAACCACAAAAGGAAGGAGATAGGAAAGCGTGTACAGGCTTCTAATATTTTAGTATTATTTTCGGCCTGTGGGCACTGAGGGCCTCATTTAGTAAACCCATTACGGGTTCGGCCAAGTCCACATAGAGGCACTGGGTGGTGAGGAACGAGGGGCCACATTCCGGTCGTACCACCATCGAAAAATTCCTGGGGATTTTTCGACCCATCCAGTTCGATCCCAGGTTCCCCAGAGCGGTAGGCTGCCACCTTAATTAACCGCTCCGGCCATCCGGTTGTCACTGGCTCCTGATCGCAGGTATCTAAGCATCACCCATTTATTGAGTAAAAGTTGAATCTCAAATCTGCAAGAATTATAAAAGTTACTGAAGAGGAAAAGGCTTTCAAATTCATGACTATTCTGTGCTATACAAAAATATTCAGATTAGAAGCACCAGGAAGTGAATCAATGAGTTGTCTGCCACAAGCCTGCAAAAATCAAATATTTATACTGAACAAGAAACTTGTGAATTGCCTGAAGCTGTCAGCTTTTCCACACCCCAAGAATAAGAATGTGTGGACATTGAAGAGGAAGACAACAGCAGTGGCTGCGAGGACTCGGAAATAATACATGCAAACTTCTTCATGCAAAAAAAAAACTGGGAATAATGTTTCTGGGAAGAACGGCATATGTCAGTTATCAAACATTTAATTTTTCTTAGGTCCTGTCAAAGGCAATATTATGACAATATACCAAAATCTTCAGAATAGCTCACTGTTTTGGCAAATGTGAGCAAAAGATGTCCATTGCAGTGCAATTTATTAGATATCGTTTTTTCAATTTTCTTAATAGTATATATTTTGACATATGCTGCTTTTGCAAAAAAATTCTCAACTGCATCTTCCTTACAGAAAAAGCAAATAGGAAGCAAATTGTATGCAGAAACATTAAGCGATGTAACGAACACCAATTATCAAAAGATGAAATTTGCTATGATTTTTTTGTTCGAGATTTATTTTAAAAAATTAAAACTTATCATTTATGAAAATAATAAAATATAATTATTATTTACGGTGTTTTTCTTTTTATAATATTGTATTATATATAGTGTCTCGTATTTCTAATTTAATTAGTTTTAATGAGGCCGTTCGAACTCTGAATTGTTCGAAGATCGAGATTCGAAGTTAGAAATAATGGAAAGTAAAGTAATCCGTTCCCAGCCCTAAACAATAGTCATTTCCGTAAACATAAACAGCAAATACACATATAAAACGTAACAGAGACTAAAAATGTCTTCAGTTTTTCTTCATGTCCAATCACCAGGAACAACTATCTTCCCTCGCAGAGACGACCTTTCTTTAGAGGCTACTCCTCTGCTAAAAAATGCAAAACAGTCTAAAAGTTCCCAGGTGACAATCCCAGCATAATTAAAAATATAATATTTCTTTTGTAAAAAGGGCTAACGAATTTACAATTTAATAAAACGTAACAGAAATTAAAACTGCCTTCACTTTTTCGTCATGTCCAATCACCAGGAACAACTATAGTGATTGGACATGACGAAAAAGTGAAGGCAGTTTTAGTCTCTGTTACGTTTTATTAAATTGTAAATTCGTCAGCCCTTTTTTACAAATGCAAATACACATAATTTAAAGGAACAATATTATATTTTAATCCGCTATTTATGCTTCGCGATAAGTTCCTTTTTCTTCTCAACTAGAGTGTAACGCAAGAGCTGTTTCACAGCGAGAATGAGACGACGTGGGCGCATAACAGATGGAATTTACACAGTTTGAATGTGGAAGCAACGTTCAAATTTTTGGTTGAATTTTTTTGAATTACCATTCGAATTCCGGAATCTTTGAAGTACGAGATACCATTGCATTATACAGTATTTAAGTTAACATTATTTTTTTTGTTTATAAATTATAATAATAATAATAACGAAAAGACATTATAACCATCTTTTTCCAAGGCCGACGGTATATTATTAACCTTAGCCAGTAAATTCTAGCTTTATCCAATTCGCGGATTCAGCTGTAACATATAAGTTAATTAATATTGTGTGATATATTTTATTATTACAGTTTTAGTGAATTTACATTAATTTAAAAATTAACTGTAATTAATTAATGGCCGAAAATGTCGATTTGTTAAATTTTATTTGTAAAAATATAAATAATTAAATAAAAACAATTTTCTAAAAATGTACAGATGTAAGATTTATGAAAAAGCTACATAAAATAACGAAACATTAGATTTAATAATCAGTGGTTCATTATTATATGAACCACTGATATAAATTCTATAAACAATTCACTTAAATATAATAATCTTTACTTATTTAGAATAAGTTGAAAAATAAAGAAGAAATTCTAAAGTCAAGAGTTTAATTGCGAAATTTTTTCAAAATTTAGCATCGGATTTAATCTAATGTTTTATTTAACATTAAAGTCAATAATTGAACGATTGATCGATTATTGCAAAAGCTCAAATTCGATAAATCGATATCGAAATTGATAGACGCCGTCATCCTCTGTCTTGCAACTTTACACATTAGCCTATTACAGTAGAAAATTTTATTATTTAGTAGTATAAATTCATTGTTGTGAAAATAATTAATTAGAGTAGGACCTTGATTGAACGGATTAATTGGGGGAAAGTGGTGTCCACTATTGCCAAAAGTCCGTTAAATTGTTTATATTTTGAAAACGTATATTAACAATGAATTTACAAGTTACAACAATAAATCTGAAAAGAAAAAGGTAATAAAAAAAGGCAATTATTATAAATATCACAAGTTTTGTTTCGTCGTCGATTTTGGTGAACCAAAATACCATTTGCAAGTTATTTTTCGATTTCCTTTACATTACGAAGGAGAAAAATAATTTAAAATTTTTAAAATATTGTGTTATGTCAGTTTAAATCAAAAGAAATCGTCATATTTATAGACGTAGAATATCTGCGCAACGCATACCAATCTTTCTTATTGTTTAATATTCAAAGTGAAACTTTTCAGTTTACTTTCTATAAAACTGGCCATCTACTTGGTATGAAACCGTTACCAACGTTAATCTTTAACTGTATTCATAGTATTAAATATTCGTAACTCGTAAACATTTTAATTTAGTTTAAAATATTCTTAAAATTTAATTAAAGACGGAAAAATTGTTAACGTTTAGTTCTAACCCAAAAATAAAATATTATCAGATATCCGAAAGCGTTTAATTAGTTTTGAACAAATTGAAAATTAAGTGAAATTATTTTATTTAAAACTGAAAATTTGTAAATATATATTATCTCTATTTATAAAAAGTTTAAAATATAGGTCATATAGGCCAATGTTCTATATTAAAATATATTTAATAAAAAGAAGAAAAGCCCGTGAAACTTACCCCTAGTATTTTGAGAATGAGGCCAAATCTGTATCTTTCGTTGCTTTTTATGAAATGTGCTCCTTTTTCTTCTTCTATGGACGGCGAAAATGACTCTTCTCCTTGAGATATTCTTTTAAAACGAGGAGAAGGCTGCCTCTTAGTAGATTTAATGGCACTTTTCATTTGCATCGAAAATAATTTGCATACGGATAATTGAGATATGTTTAATTTCGTTTCGATTCTTTTATCTCCATTAATTGACATCGTTGACATAATCCGCTACGTTGCCCGTTGTTTACGCCACTAATGCCGATTTATCGATTATATGATATAAGTTGTTACGCAAACAGCGTGAAATCTGGTGACAACGGATGACGTAGACGTCGTTTCGAAAACTTCAATTTAGAAAATATGAAAATAAATCTAATGATGATTTACTTTGTTTATATTAAATCAAATCAAATTTTATTAAAGACATTATAGCCAGCTTTTTCCAATTGTCAAACAAAACAGAATCAAATAAATAAATACAAAACATAGACAAATAGTAAAATAAATGAAAATTTGTTACAATATAATATATTTTACAATAAAGGGATGCGTTTGAATAATAATTATTACTATTGTTTTGGGGGGAAGAATTTGCTACGAACACGTCCATTTATATGTACAGAAGAGTACACTAATATTACTTGTTTTTTGGCTATTAAAGAACTAAAAAAATAAATTATTCATTAGGATATGTGCTTAAGTTTGTAATTATCAATAAAAATGATAAATTCCTTATATAAATGACGACGATAGGTTTAATTAATTGTGATAAATTATTTAATCATAATATTCAGAATACTGAAATAATCGTTTTTATAATTCATAAACATAAATTCGAATTATATTTTTTATTTTAAATTTTCACGGCACACACAGTTTTCCCCGGATAACTCTTGTGCCAGAAAATAGCAATAGCAATAATAATATTCAAAATTTAAATTATAAAAATAAGAATTCAATCAAAAAAATTCAAATGTTTTATTTATGTACAAATTCTATCGAAAATAGTTTATAATTATTATTCGCATTAAATCTATAATTTTTAACAGAATTTTCAAGTGTTAAACAATTATTTAGAGAATAAGCCTACTTAACATATCTTTACATTATTTTACAAGGAAGCCGCTTGTACAAAAGACGTTATTGTCGCTGATATCTGTTAAAAATAATAATTAAAATTAATATCCTTAATAATTTATATAGTTTATAAAATATTTCTGTGCATTATATTATATCAAATTATCTTTTGATATACATATCTGTCTCATATATATTTAGCCTACAGATTTAAAAGACTATATGCCTACAATTAAAGAAATGTCTTAATTTATGCCTAATTCGATTGTATAATTAGAATTTCCGAAATCTGTAAATTCAATCCAATAACATTATTTTCCAAATTTATATTCAAATTTTTATTCTAAGATGAATAATGGTGAAGAAAACAAAAAATCTGCATAGAAATCAAATTTACTGTATTAATTTTTACAACGCAATACAAAATTAATAAAATTAGTTTATTCTATCTCTAAATTATGGAATTTGATCAACAATCGGCGGGTCTTATAATTTCTAGTCTCGACTTAGAAGTTCAAAAATGCTCCGAATTAAATCGGCAGAGTTTCGACTCGAAGTGCCATTTCGGTTCCGCTTCGTTTTCGACAGACCACCCATTTCCGTTTATCTTGGGGCTGATATATGATATCTTCTACTTCGGATGATGCCAAAATCGTTTCTATTGGATGCGACCGAGAAATGCTTACAACGTAGTTCTCTCTGCCGACTTAACCGACTCTGGATTCCTCTAGCACAGCGATTCCCAACCTTTTTTGACTTGCGTACCTCTTGCCAGTTCATGTTCCTAAATTGTACCCTTACATTATAAAAGAGTTTGTACTTTATATATTGTAGTTGTATTTTAAACTTGTTGCAACTGTAAATAAATAGCAGTGACGTGGCAAGGAAGGCGCACAAGACCCATTCTTACAATAGAACGTGTTATTCCCGGAGCAGTCACTTCCATCGAAGGTACAGTACAGTACAATGCGACTCGTCGTGGCTAACAACGTCCAGTGTATTTGAAAACTTCGAAATCGTTCTCATGCATTTTTCGTAGTGGAATCTTGATTTTTTTTTTAAATTTTGGAGCTGACATTCGCTTCTGTATAACAACATTTTGTTAACATACTGACAAGATATATTGAACTTTCAAGTTTTTTTAATGACAGCCTTTCTTCGCAATGGCTCTCTTTGCTATCTGTTATTTTAATTCCCTCATTCCCATTCCCTGGATATCTAGCAACAGTCTTACTACTTTCCAACCTTTCTGTGATGCTCTAAACCGGGGATGGCGAACCTTTTCTGAAAGTTTATGCCGAGAATATTAAAAGTTGAAATTTATATATGTGATAATTATTTAATATTATCGTTATTAATCTGCACGCAGCCTCACAGGGCCGAGAGTAGTGGTGTCGACCCGTGCTCCGAGGAGTCGGATCCTTGGAGATTTTCGTCAAAAATTTGTTGCATTTAACGTAAATTATTCTCTGCACGGTTTCGTTTTTAGTATTTATATATAATACTAAAAATAAATTAATACTGAAATATGGAGAATAGCCGTGTTTTATCTTGTACTAAAATTAAAATGATTTTACTTTAAATTTAAGCTATTAAAATAATTTATAAAATAAATCCCTAAGTATTAGGAATTTAATTATTATGAGAAAAATAAATAAATAACAATAATACCAAGACTAAAAGCGAAAATCCATTAGTTATGGCGATGACTTTGAATCTCAATTGGACGTCTCTTTGAGGCCATATGTGANCTTATTTAGAATAAGTTGAAAAATAAAGAAGAAATTCTAAAGTCAAGAGTTTAATTGCGAAATTTTTTCAAAATTTAGCATCGGATTTAATCTAATGTTTTATTTAACATTAAAGTCAATAATTGAACGATTGATCGATTATTGCAAAAGCTCAAATTCGATAAATCGATATCGAAATTGATAGACGCCGTCATCCTCTGTCTTGCAACTTTACACATTAGCCTATTACAGTAGAAAATTTTATTATTTAGTAGTATAAATTCATTGTTGTGAAAATAATTAATTAGAGTAGGACCTTGATTGAACGGATTAATTGGGGGAAAGTGGTGTCCACTATTGCCAAAAGTCCGTTAAATTGTTTATATTTTGAAAACGTATATTAACAATGAATTTACAAGTTACAACAATAAATCTGAAAAGAAAAAGGTAATAAAAAAAGGCAATTATTATAAATATCACAAGTTTTGTTTCGTCGTCGATTTTGGTGAACCAAAATACCATTTGCAAGTTATTTTTCGATTTCCTTTACATTACGAAGGAGAAAAATAATTTAAAATTTTTAAAATATTGTGTTATGTCAGTTTAAATCAAAAGAAATCGTCATATTTATAGACGTAGAATATCTGCGCAACGCATACCAATCTTTCTTATTGTTTAATATTCAAAGTGAAACTTTTCAGTTTACTTTCTATAAAACTGGCCATCTACTTGGTATGAAACCGTTACCAACGTTAATCTTTAACTGTATTCATAGTATTAAATATTCGTAACTCGTAAACATTTTAATTTAGTTTAAAATATTCTTAAAATTTAATTAAAGACGGAAAAATTGTTAACGTTTAGTTCTAACCCAAAAATAAAATATTATCAGATATCCGAAAGCGTTTAATTAGTTTTGAACAAATTGAAAATTAAGTGAAATTATTTTATTTAAAACTGAAAATTTGTAAATATATATTATCTCTATTTATAAAAAGTTTAAAATATAGGTCATATAGGCCAATGTTCTATATTAAAATATATTTAATAAAAAGAAGAAAAGCCCGTGAAACTTACCCCTAGTATTTTGAGAATGAGGCCAAATCTGTATCTTTCGTTGCTTTTTATGAAATGTGCTCCTTTTTCTTCTTCTATGGACGGCGAAAATGACTCTTCTCCTTGAGATATTCTTTTAAAACGAGGAGAAGGCTGCCTCTTAGTAGATTTAATGGCACTTTTCATTTGCATCGAAAATAATTTGCATACGGATAATTGAGATATGTTTAATTTTGTTTCGATTCTTTTATCTCCTTTAATTGACATCGTTGACATAATCCGCTACGTTGCCCGTTGTTTACGCCACTAATGCCGATTTATCGATTATATGATATAAGTTGTTACGCAAACAGCGTGAAATCTGGTGACAACGGATGACGTAGACGTCGTTTCGAAAACTTCAATTTAGAAAATATGAAAATAAATCTAATGATGATTTACTTTGTTTATATTAAATCAAATCAAATTTTATTAAAGACATTATAGCCAGCTTTTTCCAATTGTCAAACAAAACAGAATCAAATAAATAAATACATAGACAAATAGTAAAATAAATGAAAATTTGTTACAATATAATATATTTTACAATAAAGGGATGCGTTTGAATAATAATTATTACTATTGTTTTGGGGGGAAGAATTTGCTACGAACACGTCCATTTATATGTACAGAAGAGTACACTAATATTACTTGTTTTTTGGCTATTAAAGAACTAAAAAAATAAATTATTCATTAGGATATGTGCTTAAGTTTGTAATTATCAATAAAAATGATAAATTCCTTATATAAATGACGACGATAGGTTTAATTAATTGTGATAAATTATTTAATCATAATATTCAGAATACTGAAATAATCGTTTTTATAATTCATAAACATAAATTCGAATTATATTTTTTATTTTAAATTTTCACGGCACACACAGTTTTCCCCGGATAACTCTTGTGCCAGAAAATAGCAATAGCAATAATAATATTCAAAATTTAAATTATAAAAATAAGAATTCAATCAAAAAAATTCAAATGTTTTATTTATGTACAAATTCTATCGAAAATAGTTTATAATTATTATTCGCATTAAATCTATAATTTTTAACAGAATTTTCAAGTGTTAAACAATTATTTAGAGAATAAGCCTACTTAACATATCTTTACATTATTTTACAAGGAAGCCGCTTGTACAAAAGACGTTATTGTCGCTGATATCTGTTAAAAATAATAATTAAAATTAATATCCTTAATAATTTATATAGTTTATAAAATATTTCTGTGCATTATATTATATCAAATTATCTTTTGATATACATATCTGTCTCATATATATTTAGCCTACAGATTTAAAAGACTATATGCCTACAATTAAAGAAATGTCTTAATTTATGCCTAATTCGATTGTATAATTAGAATTTCCGAAATCTGTAAATTCAATCCAATAACATTATTTTCCAAATTTATATTCAAATTTTTATTCTAAGATGAATAATGGTGAAGAAAACAAAAAATCTGCATAGAAATCAAATTTACTGTATTAATTTTTACAACGCAATACAAAATTAATAAAATTAGTTTATTCTATCTCTAAATTATGGAATTTGATCAACAATCGGCGGGTCTTATAATTTCTAGTCTCGACTTAGAAGTTCAAAAATGCTCCGAATTAAATCGGCAGAGTTTCGACTCGAAGTGCCATTTCGGTTCCGCTTCGTTTTCGACAGACCACCCATTTCCGTTTATCTTGGGGCTGATATATGATATCTTCTACTTCGGATGATGCCAAAATCGTTTCTATTGGATGCGACCGAGAAATGCTTACAACGTAGTTCTCTCTGCCGACTTAACCGACTCTGGATTCCTCTAGCACAGCGATTCCCAACCTTTTTTGACTTGCGTACCTCTTGCCAGTTCATGTTCCTAAATTGTACCCTTACATTATAAAAGAGTTTGTACTTTATATATTGTAGTTGTATTTTAAACTTGTTGCAACTGTAAATAAATAGCAGTGACGTGGCAAGGAAGGCGCACAAGACCCATTCTTACAATAGAACGTGTTATTCCCGGAGCAGTCACTTCCATCGAAGGTACAGTACAGTACAATGCGACTCGTCGTGGCTAACAACGTCCAGTGTATTTGAAAACTTCGAAATCGTTCTCATGCATTTTTCGTAGTGGAATCTTGATTTTTTTTTTAAATTTTGGAGCTGACATTCGCTTCTGTATAACAACATTTTGTTAACATACTGACAAGATATATTGAACTTTCAAGTTTTTTTAATGACAGCCTTTCTTCGCAATGGCTCTCTTTGCTATCTGTTATTTTAATTCCCTCATTCCCATTCCCTGGATATCTAGCAACAGTCTTACTACTTTCCAACCTTTCTGTGATGCTCTAAACCGGGGATGGCGAACCTTTTCTGAAAGTTTATGCCGAGAATATTAAAAGTTGAAATTTATATATGTGATAATTATTTAATATTATCGTTATTAATCTGCACGCAGCCTCACAGGGCCGAGAGTAGTGGTGTCGACCCGTGCTCCGAGGAGTCGGATCCTTGGAGATTTTCGTCAAAAATTTGTTGCATTTAACGTAAATTATTCTCTGCACGGTTTCGTTTTTAGTATTTATATATAATACTAAAAATAAATTAATACTGAAATATGGAGAATAGCCGTGTTTTATCTTGTACTAAAATTAAAATGATTTTACTTTAAATTTAAGCTATTAAAATAATTTATAAAATAAATCCCTAAGTATTAGGAATTTAATTATTATGAGAAAAATAAATAAATAACAATAATACCAAGACTAAAAGCGAAAATCCATTAGTTATGGCGATGACTTTGAATCTCAATTGGACGTCTCTTTGAGGCCATATGTGAAGATACTGAAAATTAAAATAATATATTTTCAAAATTGCCGATCGAAATAATAATTATACTTTCTGGAAAATGAAATTACAAACTATTTCAAATCCATTATACTCATTAATTAATACCGTATTTCGATATTTAATAACGTATATTTCACCTTGTATTTAGCGTACTCATTCATATCGTCGATATCGTAATTAAATATCTAGATTTGTTCAATAAAAAAAAAAAAGCGAAATTAATGTTTGTTATAACGTTGTTTAATTATCATAATACTACAATTATTATAAATTTCCAACCTTTCTTTCGTGTAAATAATCTTTAATGGCTATCGACATCGCAGACAAACAAGAAGCGATGATCAAAAGAAGCAATAATCCAATCTATAAAGAGATTTTAATTATTATTTATATTTAATAAAAAAAGTCTTTTAAAATATAACATATAAGTTAAAACATACTATAATCGGATACTTTCTATTTTCTAAATCGTAGCAACATAATCCAATAGATAAGAACATCATTGAGATGCCGGTGGCGACAGTTAATTTAGGAGAAAGTCCCAATTCTTTCACAACAATCTCTTCGTTATGCTTGAATCTGGGAGGAAAAGACAAATTCCATATTCCAATTCCGAGTGTGGCGATTCCTAGAAACTACCATAAACACTTATCGATAAATTGCACCGCGTGTTTATTAATAAATAATCTACGATTTACATTTATTTAAGAAGAATGTCAGTTGTTTGTATAAATTCAGAAACGTGAAACCAAACAGCTTCAAGGACGAATGCATTCCAAAATTTAATACAAATTTAATACTTCGAATAAACTCACTTAAGTACTTTTATAAATTTAAATATTACATAAAACAACGTAATTTCTCTCGTTCTATTTTTATATTTTTTGAGTAAATAAGTTATGTTTCAGGTTTTACCGTAAAAACAATTAAACAAGTTTATTTAAAAGTAAAAACCGATTCGTAAGACATTTTATAAGTCGTTTTTATACTGTATATATGCTTTAATTAATATTAAAATAATTAGTATTACTTATATTAAATATAATTAAATTGAAAATTTTAAATATTCTCGTTGAAAAATGAATAAGATGTATAAAATTCTCGGAAATTGTTAATAATAAATATACTTACGCCAACGAATAGAACGAACCATTGGAGAGCTTTCTTCGCGGTAGACATGTTATCGGTTAGCGTTTATTAAAGAGTTAGTGAATATATAATCCGGGAGGTTCTCAAATTTCTACTCCCGAATAAAAACATAACTTCGAGGTCAAGCCGCAACAACTTCTGTAACGAAGGACAGAGTACAATCCTAAAACACTTTCGATCGAACAATTTTTCGTAAAATGTAAAGTTGAAAATAATGAAGAAAAATCGTTTACTTTCTACAAATTAAAGTTACTCCGAGTGATTTATTGTTTTGTTAATTACACGAAATTCTACAGTCCAATTATATTCGATGGAATTTATTCTGTCAACATTTAGGATTTAAAAATGACCCTTAGTTCCGTCTTCTATATATTATGTTTGTTATTCACGTGACCTCTTTCTGGTTAATTAAGGATATAAATATATTTAACCGATAAGAGATAAATGCCTCTTTTGTAAAGAAATTGGGTCTGTGTTTTTGCTTTCTTGGAAAACACTAAATGATATTCCCGAAGAGAACTTAGTAAAAAAGTTTCAAATATTCCGTCGAATATTTTTTGTTAATTATCGACGTAAGATAAAAAAAAAATATCGGTTTTCGATACGATGCTTAAATATGAAAAAAAATAAACTTTTTCTTGTAAATAAATACGTATTTAAATGTATTATAAAAATAATTATTTGTTATTACATCAATATTTCGCAATTAATGCGATATTAATTATATTATAAATATTAGCGAAAGTATATTAATCATATTAAATGTTACAAAACTAAAGAGCCCGTGAGTGGACGAATGCTTACGATTTCTTCGATATGATATACTTTATCTTTGCATCTTTGCATGTGTAAATTTCCGTAAAACTGGAATGAAGTTATTCTATTTCGTGTCTAGACATATGACATAATTTATACTTTTATTAGTAATATACTATACTAATAGACTATCTACTTTACCAGGTATAGTCTTTATGCTACGATATATGGATGGCATTTTAATAGCATTTGATTCAGAAAAAATAGAAAAACTGAAATTTCAAAACATTATAAATTAAATAAACTTATTCAATTCGAAACGGACCTTGAAAGCAGAGGATGTATACATTATCTAGATATAACGGTAAACAGAAGCGCTATAGGAGTTAAATTTTAAAAATATGAAAAAACTGTATTACTAATAAAACTATAAACTATAACTCATATTGTCCTCTAGATATAAAAAAGAATAACTTCATTACAGCTTTACGGAAAATTTACACACCCGTAGAGATAAAAGACAGATAAAAAATAGATAAAAGGAATAGACTAGAAGAGCAAACAAAGTTGAAAAAGATTTTCTTGCTAAATGCATATCCTAATAGATTAGTAGAAACATGAATAAGAGAATATATAGAAAACGGGTGTAAGGTAAATTTTAAAGAAGAATTAAAACATATATCCTTTCCGTATATTAAAAATAACTTCGGGAATTGTAAATTAAAAAAAAGTATGTATTCTATAAAATTAGCAACCAGTTTAAAAATTAAATTTAAAGAATTTATATTTGTTAAACAGAATAAAAAGAAAGAAAGAAACTGGAAAAATCGTACAGGAGATATCGTGTACACGCAATGATAAAGTATATTAAATCGAAGAAACTGGAAGAGTATTAGAGAAGAAAATAAAGGAACACGAAACATCAACTCGGTTCAAAAGTACCCAATTACCTCAGTTTATACATGGTAGTAGGAATAGTTGTACAATTAGGCCTAATAATGATAATATTAAGATTTTATTTAAATTTTCGTAGCTAAACGTCATATTTTGAACATGATGTATTGCTACGAAAATTTAAAGAACATGTCGCGATCAAAAATAATGATAAATTTGAATAATGGAATGTTGGTAGATGACATATGGATGACGTCATATACAGGAATAAAAGTTTAGTGTTACGCGATGCGGGATGATTGTTAGTGATTGATGTAAAGTATTAAGAAAAATCAACACTGTCGCAGAGTACACTTATGTAATTTTTATTTGGTTTTTTTTATTATCTGTAAGTTACACCTAGGAGAGATCAGTACACAATCCGAAATGAATATAAGTAAAAGATCTGTGAATTAAAATTGTCTTCTGAGTACTTCTTGACCTCTGGTGAATGTTTGATTAGGACGCAGCAAATTCATTTATTTGTTTATTCGTTTACAAACCCCTTTTTAATGATTACCAAAATAAGAACATAATTTCAGAGTTAAGCCATGTCACATCTTCAACGTAGATGAATATGGACTGCAGCTCAAAAATAAAGCACTACATGTACTTGCTTTCAAGGGATCAAAATCAGTCCCTCAATTAACTTTTACTGAAAAAAGCGAAACAATTACAATTGTAGGATGTTGCAAAGCACAGGGTTTCTTTTTGCTGTCCGTGAGTGTATTTAATTAAAGCTAAAAATCAGAAGATTGCATTTTTTGATGGTATGCCCCATGGATCAGATATTTACATATGTGAAAAATTCTTTTACATAAATTCCGATCTGTTTTTAAATGGATTAAAACACATTTTTCCCAAGGAAGCATTCTTGTAAGGTCATATGTATGAATTACTATAGTCACGTTTTCTATAGTAATTCATACAAAATGTTAAAGTACTGCGAAGAAAAAGATATAGTTTTGATTTAGTATCTACGCCCCTTGACAGATCATTTTCATTTTTAAACCATTAAATTGTCATTTATACAACGAATATAATTCTTAGATCAGCCTTCATAGCGATATGAATCACGCCTTTTAATTCTAGCGCAGTTCCTGAGTATGCACTTACAACGAGTGGAACATACGTTTTAATGTGTCTGGTATTCAAGAAGCAAATTTTTCAGAGCAAATAGATAACAGTCATTTAAGCTATGTTAGAAAGCAAGTTTACAGTATTAATACTGTAAACTTGCTTTCTAATGATAACGACATCTTACTATTCTCACAACTGTCACCAAACTATTTGGCCTAGTGTTGCTAATAAAAATCTTATAAGACTATCACCCTCAAATATCTCCATAAAATTGCCACCGTACCAAAAATTAAAAAAGCCAGATATGCTTGTATAGTTATGCAGTGTAGTCAGGCCTACTTAGTAATCTTACTAGATTGTAAACAGAAAGTTTATAACCTAATAACACATGGTTGTATATGACGTTTTGTATTTATTTCTTATGGAACACACAGTTAAACTATTTATATGGGTTGATAAAAACTATAAGCGTCACACCCAGTTTTATTCCTAATTTTTGCGACCTAGGCCCTTTGGCTGATGAGGTACCAGATTTGCTTCGGAAAATTCGACATCCAACGACTGAGTTACGTTATCTTTTCGCCAAATTAATATTCTCTTCCAGAACGATTCTTCGAAATTAAATAATAACTTTGAAATAAAGTACTACGACAGATCCGTAAATTTAGTTACGTAAGTTCTTAAAAAATATTTAACCGATTAAATGAATGGAGAAATTACGAACGTCGTCTTTGGAAAGAATTATATCAAAATGTAATTAGATGTTTCGACGTGATTCTGCACATAGTCCATGTCATAATCGTATTCATAATGTTTATTTTTACATTGTAAGCAATCAACGGGTACCGAAAAATCGATAGCAAACTTTGAAAATCGGCGGCTTTCGTAAATGTATTGATAGTATTGCGCTTCGTCGAGTGCTGGTAAGTTTACGTTTAATTTAGTCGTTTCCAAAAACAATTTTAAATCTTCCGCTTAAAATAAACATAATTTAAGGTATCAAATATTTATTTATTTATCGATTACAGACGAATAATTATTTATTTTTGTAAATTCTTTCGTCCGAATTAAAATTATTAAACAGGCTATTTTAGAAGTAAAATACGTTAGAATTAAATATCGATAACATTTATTTCTTATTAATTTAATGTACTGTACGGTAAGATATAATTATCAGGAAAATAAATGTATCTCAAAGTAGTTATTTCATTAACTTATTAAATTAATTTGCCGCAATATATAAATGGAATAACTTCAAAAAGGATATTAATTAATTTGTCGGAATAACATTTCTACGGACAACTAAAATTGGCATAGTATTATTATTTTACTTTATTTTATCAACTTACGGTATAGGCCTACATTTTAAAAAGATTATAATTTTATATTTAAAAGCGCTCTTAGCCGAAGATGGAAGTTAATAAATATACCGGACTGCATTACGGTATAGCGGGCCGTTTCTACTTCAAAAAGTCTATTTAAATAAATTAACGATTACGTTGAAAAATGAATGACATTAAAATGCTTGGGTGAAATTAAACTTGGGTGAAATTATTTCGTCTTGTCCCGAGCTATTAAAAATTTCATTAAAATACAAACCTTATTTATCAATTAATTCTCTTTACAATCGTTCATTGCCTTTTTCTATCGAAATTTTTCGAATATTTCGTATTTAAAATATATCTTTCGATAAAACATTCGAAAATTTTCGGTAAAACGGAACGAATAATGCCAAAAATTTTATATAGTTTTTCTCTTTTTATCCAATAAAATTTTAAAAATAAAAAATACAGGTATACCTCGAGTTACGTCGTTCCCGATTATACGTCGTTTGTAAAAACAAGTATATGGAAAAATAAAAATCAAGTTTAAGTCATTTTATTCGACTTTACGTCTGTCCGCCACAAATATTGAAGTCGTAATATCACTAGATAAGCGTTTAAAGCACATAAAATCATATTAAAATATATACATTTACAAGTATGTACTGTATTTACAGTACAGTACATGCATTCGTAAATTTAGATTACTTTTTCTGTACTATATTAAAAACTAAAATTTATTTGTTTGTAAATTTAAAATAGATCCTTATTAACCATATATTATTAAAAATACATTAATAAATAAAATACAGAACCAGAAATGGTAATTTATGGTTCTGCCTAGTGACAAGTAGATTCGGAGACAAGTAAATTCGACTTGCGTCGCCTCTCCTGGAACCAATTACCGACGTAAGGCGAGGTATACCTGTAATTTACATTTTAAAGAAATGCTTTTTATTCGCATAAATGCACTAAAAAGTAGAGAATATTTTTTCAGCTTTCATAGTATTCTTGGTATTATGCACCATAAATAAAAGCTTGGGAGCTCATGTTTACAAATATTCTTAGTTACACTTTCTATCAATTTTTATGGGCTTCCCTTGAGCTCCCACGTTTTTATTTTTGATCGCATAATACCAAGAATACCGTACAGGCTAAATAAAAAGCGTTTTGTAAATTTCTGAAATACTTTTTCTACTTTTTAGTTTCATAGCCTACGTGTAACATTGAATTATCGAAGTTCTTCTTGACTTAGCATTTAGTTTAACGTAGTCTATAATATTATCAGTGAGGTTTGCTGATTTTTTCTTAAAATTGTTTGCAAACTGTAAAAAGAAAAAAAAACATGTATTATCATCGGGAATAAGTATGTTTGCAAAGTCTCAACTAATAGATCGGGAATTGAACTATGTGTGAAAATAAGGTTACAAGATTACATCTAAGCAAACCAAAATGCATTAAATCACAATTCTTAGCTGCAATTTTAATGATATTTTTATTTTACTTAATTTAAAATATATGCTCTTCATCTCAAATTAGTACTGTAGTGTCTTGCCCCTGTACATCATATATTTCCTTTAACAATAGAGTGGTGCCGGTCATCAATCCAACTCCTTTCTGGGGAAGTTTTGAATTGAAATAACGTGGTGATTTCTGGTTCAGACCGGAAGTTCATATATAGTTTTTCATATCTGGTCTCGGTTTTCATCTATTTAACTCCGTTCTCGCGATTAAGGAAGGACGGATAGACAAACAGTGGTAATTTATTAATTAATAAAAAGCTTAGCCTATAATAAATTATAACTGAAAGAAGATAATGACTTGTTCTACTTTCTTACGTATACAAAACTAATATCTTCCAATTTTGATTTATTTATTTATTCTTCTCGTTACTGAAATCTGTTTATAATAAATAGACGTAATGACATTTCGGTCGATTCTTATCCTCTTTTTATATCTTAATAATAATAATTGTAGTCTATGCTTCGAAAACAAATTTAAATGTCGAATGTTATTTTACTTAATTGATATAATTTGATATCGATAACTTTCGTAAATCATAAAGAAAAACGCAAATAGCAATTACAACGATATTAATATATTTATTTATACGAAAGCATATTTTGACAATTATAATTATATATAATTATAATGAAAGAATAAATCGATTTACAATAAAAAATAATAATTTATCAATTTTTCTTGAACAAATAACAAAAATTGTAAATGTTATCAATCGCGTTTAAATCTACTATATAATAATAGGCTACATAATAACCGTATTTTTTATAAATACTCCCATAAATAATAGACATTTTAATCATTTGCTAAATATAAACGATAAATTTTATATAATGAACTTAGTGTTTCTATTCGATACAACAAGTACCCGTACGAATATTTAGAAAAAAAAAAACGAAGCAACAAACGGTGAAACCTCTATAAACGGCTACCTCATTAGACGACCGGATTTTAGAACTTTTGTTCCGCGAGACTCATTCGATCTATAGAGCATTAAAGATCAAAATGAAAAATTGTAGAGATCAATGTAAATTGGCAGCACTCGGAAACTAGATTGACATGTAGCGGCACGACCATCTTACATCCGTCAATCCACCCTTAGATTTTACATGACGAATATCTCAGCCCAGAGATTGTTTTTTCCACGAATAATAAGCTAACTATAAAGACGACTTTTAATATTATCAAAGTATATTTTAATCAAATAACAATTATATTTTACAGTTTATTTGAAGAATATATCCAAACGTATCTTCTACATCGACAAATAAGATGTTTCGATACACTAAGTTGATTGTAATTGCTTTAATCGCTAACCAATGGTTGGATTGCTTTTCGAGTAATCAGTTACAAAGCCAATTACACGGTTAGTATACGTTTTATATTTAAAATTTTTAAAAATGTCAAAATATTTCAAAATTTTGTACAACGATTACGATTTTTTCATTACTTCTAGAGAAAATGAAGAAAGAGAGGACCGTTCGCATTCTTTCCATTCAGGTAAATTGTATTACGCATTCATATTTGAAACTTAGTTGTATTAGTGTATTACTTAATATAAGAAAATAATAATTTTAAATAATAGCTGAAAATCATCGCTAGGGACGCCCCCTATTGCGCGTTCCAGGCATTCTGTGACAGATGACAGGTGGGATCAATGGCTTATATAAGATGTTGAAAAGACAGGGTGACAAAATACATTCTTGTCGGACAACCTTACAGATTTTGGCCAGTCTGTGTAACCATGTGCTGTCTTCATTGTGGCTTCTTAATTGGTGTACAAAGACTTTATGAGCTTTATTAAATGTGCTGAGACACCAAATCCTGTAAAGCTTTCCATAGCTTATCGTGATCCGTATAATCAAATACCCAAATGTAGTCGATGAAGTGTGCATGTGGATGTTCTGGAATTCATGCGCTTTCTACACGACACGATTTGATCACGCATGTCTCATCCATGTCGGAAGCCTGCTTGTACATCTGAACGTGCCATAATATATAAATTTTATACATAATATACATCTCAAGATCATACAAGAAAGGTTAAGACGAATTATTAAAACGGCACGTTCAGATTTAATTAAAATGCCTCAATGTCCTTGACTTACTATAATATATAAATTTTCGTCTACAAGTACGTATTTTCTAATATCAGGACTTATAACACTGGCTTTACAGAAGTTTTACTATACTTTTATTATACTGCTACAGAGTTTTACAGAAAACAACTTTTTGTTTTATTTAATATACCTGTATATTAAATAACTGTAATATTGTTAACTATGTATATAACTGTTAAATATATAATGTTATTATGTTATGCTATGTTATGTTGAATATATATTGTTATATATAACTGTTAAATATTAAATACCTGTATATTAAATAAAAATTTTGTTTTATTTAATATACTGGTATATTAAATAAAACAAAAAATTGTTTTCTGTGAAACTGTAGCATTATCTGTAAAGCCAGTATAATAAGTCCTGATATTAGTAAGTCAAGGACATTGAGGCATTTTAATTAAATCTGAACGTGCCGTTTCAATAATTCGACTTAACCTTTCTTGTATGGTCTTGAAATGTATCTTTCTTGCATGTGGGATAAGGGCTATTGTACGATAATTTGCGCAGTCACGTGAGTCATCTTTCTTTAGAATAGAGACATTGATTTTTTTCCAGTCCTGTGAGAGCTCTATAAAATAGAGAAAAATCTGTAAATTTGAAAACTATGAACATAAATTTAATTTCTCAAAAAATAAATTAAAAAATCTCAAAAGTCGCTACTTTTGGATGATTTGTCTGAGGTCTCCGCTACCTCTCTACGTCCCTCTAAAAGTCGCCACAGTTGGGAGCAGACATCTAGGGTCTAATTAAGGCAAAATGTCATCGAAAAACCGCGCTGTAGAAAGGCAGAAAAATTTAAAATTTAAAAATACTATATAATTTCTCGTGAACAGTAGTTTGGTCCTCCCTTCTAAGCGGGCCCTGTGCGGGTGCACCTGTTGCACCTGCCTAGTTACGGCTCTGAATGTAGTACGCTTACATTTATTCAACAAATAAAATATGTTAATCAAACAGCAGAAGGTTCTTTCATTTGATTAGTAAGATTTTATAGCATTCATTTCGATAAATATCTCGTAGTAAGACTTCTATTATTTCTGGCGTAAGAGCCACGTAAGGAGTGTCCACTTAAATATCAGTCCACGGAGCAAGAGAGATCTTTCTGGCACGGCAAGAATGCACGATAGTTTCGGCACTGAAATAATCTATTCATAAATTTGCAGAGAAGGTTCATGTATTTTCCCATACTGTAGTACCACCGTCTCGCCGCCATTACGATACTGCAAGAACCGAGAACTATACAATTGAGAATATACTGTAATTGATTTTGAAATTAATAATAGAAATTCGTTCATAATGCTCACTGTTAGTAATTGTAAGGATTTTTATATTTTAAATTATTCCTCGCAGTCAATAATCCTATCTCCTATGTCAAGATATATATATATATATATATATATATACTGANTTAACGTAACTTTTTTCCTTTACGAAAAACAAATAAGTTGACAACGTTATTCCTGGATTTTCTCGGCATTATTTATTTGTTTCCATCCCTAATAATTGCTAACATTACCTTTAAGTTTTCATATTTACATAAAATTAATAATACGAACGATTAGTCGTAGAATGAGGGACTTTTAACTATTTACTCCCACCTCTTGATTTGGTTTTATTTGGCTTTATAACCAATCAGAATGACTGTTAGGGTTAGGAATCGAAACACCGACCAATCGTTTTAAGTTTTCCTAAATTTTAAAAATATGTTTGTAGTAAGTCCGATTAAAATTTGCTGATATGGTCTTCGTTTATGGTCTTCTTCCGAAAAGTCTAAATTTTGCCATCGTTTCGCATTTACAATACATCGATAATGGTTTTTTTATATTGAAGTCATGTGTGTTCCTATATAAAATTTAAGCATTTCTGGAAGAAACGGTAAAAGGTAAAATAAAAAACAAATTACAAATAAGTTATAAATAATGTAAAGCTATATTTGATTAGTTCGATAGTTTTCATGTATCCAAAGTCTGATTGAGTGTAGCTTCGAAGCTCTCTCATTGGCTGTAGCTCATCGACTGTTGCAAATTTCACTTTTTAAATCTGTCTTATTGGTACTACTAGTCAGTCGACCGACTGTTGTCATGGCAATACGACTTGGAATCGGTCATAGTGTGAAATCGCCCTAAGGCAACGCGATATGCCAAGGGGGAATGTCTTCCGGAGGTCTTTTCTGACTGTGTCCCTCATTTACGTGTTAATGACATGAAGAAAATCCGGAAAACGCCACGTGGCCAGCCCGTTGGCGAGGCGCGAACCTACGACTATTAGTGTTCAGTGTTTTTATCCATTGGGCCACTGGTGGGCCACCTCCACCTCTTTAACATATCGGTCTAATTTCGATGAAAATTATGATCAACTAGTTGTATACTATTTTGACATTGGCACAATGACAAAATGCAGATTTTAATCATATTTTAATATATAGTTTCGTATATAGTTAATCGGATCTTCCGTCCCTAAGGGCTGTCCATAAATGACGTTCACACTGGAAGGGTTGGGGAAAGTGTTATCACAAGTCAAACAACGTCGGACTAGGAGAGGAGGGTTGAGCTTCAGTGGACGTCCGTTTATTTCATTAAATTTCATAGTTATATTTATTTCAAAATTTCATGTATGTTTCGTTTCTACTTATGGTATCTATCATGATCTATAGATAACCGTATGGTCATGCCACCTCCTTTGTTCGTCCAACAGAAATCGCTTTTTGCCGCTAGCAGCGTTCCGATAGCATGTCGTCCAAAGGTCTATAAACATAAGATCAAGACACGATACCGTGATGCATCGCGGCAGTCGCTCTTTTGATGTGTACGGTGTTTCTAGAGCGAAGCTGATTGTTTGTTTATTTCGATCTCAATTAGTTGGATTTCTTGTTATATATATGCATATAGCCTATATATTAAAATGGTTCGGTATTCAACACCGAATTGTAAAACTTCGACAGCCAAAGGTGTAATATTGTTTCGTTTTCCCCGCTGACAAATCCAGGAAAGCTAAATGGCTTCAATATTGCTTGAATACATTCAATAAGAAAAATTGGCAACTGAAATTTAGTGCATATCTTATAATTATTATTGCTTTTATAAATTTATATTTTGATACAAATAACGCTATTTGCTGCATGTACTGTCATTCAGTGTGAACATGTCGCATTTTCTGAGGTAACAGTTTTAGTGAAATTGGAAAATACAGTATCAAGTTACTAATAGAGATTTAAAGTCTTTAATTATATATAGCTTTGGCTATCGAATTTTTACAATTCGGCGCTGAACACCAAACCATTTAAATATATATAACAAGAAATCCAACTAATAATTGAGATCGAAAGAAACAAACTATCAGCTTCGCTCTAGAAACACCGTACACACCAAAAGAGCCCCAACATGGCGACTGCCGCGATGCATCACGGTATCGTGTCTTGACCTTATGTTTATAGACCTTGATTGCCCAATTTTTATAATATACATCTATGCGGGAAAAATCGATTTTATCTGTTATCTAGCGTGGTTTCCTTCCATTTTTTCACAGTAATTTAAATAAGATGAATACAGATTATTACGATAAATACAATATTTCTTTCTAAGTCTTGAAATTCCTTTTTTGTCCATTCAATGTCCGTTCGAAACATTGTAGATTATCGGATCGTTACGAATATTTTTTAAAGTCATTTTACAGTGAATGTCATAACGACCAACGACGAGTTTGTTCCCGTGGTTCCTAAGTACAGTATCTGATGGACTTTCCTATCTTGTTTAATTTATTCTTTTTCTCTTCCTTTTTGAAGTTCTGTCTTCTATATCCGAGTCGAACCACTCTTCTGTCCAAAGTCTTCGCTTTTAAACTGTTTCCAATTTCTTCTCAAACTCTTCTTCCAATTGCGTTTCAAATTCGAACTATTCAAACTCTCTCGAATTCTTCTCGAATTTTTAAAATTTCGTTCCCATCTTCTCGCATGATTCGAATTGCAATATATTACACCGATTAAATTTTAAGAAGAGGTGAATAAGACCCGATTTTAAGTTTTGTTTTCGCTTTGTCTATACGTTTTTGGATAATGTCGGTTTTATCCGCCGTTACTCGGATAAAGCGCGCTTTAATGAAATAAAGTTCAAAATTAATAAATTGTTTTTTTAACCAAACAAAANTCACATAACACATAACATACGTGAAATAAAACCTCTTAGTACTCAACACCTGAAAAGCTTCTACTTTTAATATTCGCTTTAGTCTAACATTAGCATACAAAGCGGATACCAGAACTGCTACAGAGAAAAAACAACAACAGTGTTGATACTTCGGTCTCTTCCCTTTCGGAAAAATATTTAAAAAAATAATTTCGGGTGCAAACAAATATTGATATATCATTTTTTTAAATTTCATTATTCGCAACTTTTTGATATGTCTTAGACGTAGAATTTGCCTAAAATAATCGTTCCTTTAATGTTCTCCAGAGTCCCGGTTATCTGGTGGCAACGGAAACAGAAAAGGGTGTCGAGTTTCGTGGACTTTTTGGAAACGTTCTTAATGTCATTGGAAAAAAGCTTAATTTGAGGTAATTATTTCGTTTTAAACAATTACTTTTAACTAATAATTTCTTGCAACGACGATCGTCGTTAAAATAGCTACGAAAGGCAATCAGAAAATAACATCGGATTTTTTAGTTGGAAATTATCGGTTATTTTTTATGTCTTACTTGCTGTTTGGATTAAACGTTACGCGTACTAAAAGAAAGACGCAAACCGAAGGTGGTGGCAACGGTATTTGAGACAGAGAAAGTCAAAAATCGACAGGTCGCTGAAAAGAGTGCGTTTACGTCAATGTAGCTTATACTTTAAATTTCAAAACTCTAACGATGCGAGTGTTGCAGCTAATAATTTATGTAAAGTTTTTGGATTCGATGCTGCTTCAGACCGCGCGGTTCAAAGGTGGTTTAAACACCTCTGCACCGTTTTTTCAGCCATATTTTTAAATAGTGGAGTTTTCCAGGTTTTCTTCACGTTAGTAACACCTAAATTGGGGCCAGTTTTTAAAGAAAGACCTCCTTGGAGGCATTTTCTCTCGGAAGATCGCCCATTGCGTTGCCGTAATCAAATAAAAGAAAATCCTTTTGTAATTTTCGTTTATTTTACTCTTCCGATAAGTACCACAAATTTATAATAAGTAGCTACCGAAGTTATTAGAAAATTATTTTCTCGTTAAATTTTCGAAAATTAAATTAAATTAGGCACAAGTTCCTCACACGCGGAGAGTATTAGAAAAAGTTATCCATCTAATCCGAATAGTATTTTAATTTGTTGTTTTTATATCTAATTAGAATGTATTATTATTAATAATGTATATAATTAAATTATATTGTGTATTTTTCAGTTTCCTTTGTATTAAATCGGACAAAATGGTAGCCGGAAATAAATTAGAAAACGGATCGTGGACCGGATTTGTTGGAGCAATACAAAGAAACGTACATTTTTTAAACTCTACATAAATTACAATTAATAATAATAATTTATAGTTCTGTTCTAGATTTTATATGGGAAAATAATTTTTAAAAAACATATTGGCAGGAAGTCGACTTGTTTCCGGGACAAATGGGATATTTAGAAACGGAAGTCGTAAATTATTTGATGCCGTTTATATTCGGAGAAGTCAAATTTATAGTGAAAAAACCGGAGCAATTGTCAAAAATATTTATTATAGTTCGACCATTCCAAAAAGAGGTAAGTTTCAATATTTTATAATTACGACAGCAGCTTTTTAGCTCAAAAACCATCCCGTCTTTCTCGGTAAAGTAGAGATCTTCGGTTCGAAATCCCGACGGCATTGAAACGTGACAAAATCGAAAGCAGGGGATTGTCGCTGACTCGAGGATATATAAAGGGTGTCCCAAATTTAACTCAAGATTTAAATATCGCGCCATTTTTCTCCGATTGGATTGGCAGCGCCATATAAAGTGACACATTGCCTTGTAGTAAACATATTGCAGATAGTAAATATGAAGCGATACATGATGAAGGAACACGAAATGATTATCAAAATTTAGTGGAGGTGAAAAGGTTTGCTGCGACTGTGCGCAAATTACACGGCATCTTCGGTTGGAGAAATATGCCAAATGAAATGACTAGGCAAAGAACAACTTATGAGTGACAGTTTGGTGTGGATTTTGGACCGGTGGAGTGATTGGAAAAATTTTCAGCCATATTTTTTCGAAAATGAGTCTGAAAATGCAATTACTGTGAATGGTGTGCATTTTGCGAGATGATATAGGAGATTTTATGGCCTCATTTGGACAGCTGTGTTCTCGATTGGTAGCTCTAAGTAAGCGAGTCTTATTCTATCTCGTAAAACGTTTCGCTGATAAATAAAATATTTTCCACTTGCATAAATCTTTCTTTCTTATAAAATGATTGCTCCGCCAACCCAATAAAATTAAAGTTTATAAGGAAAAAGTCATTTTCGTATGAAAATCATTTTATTACATTTTATTATAGTGAACAGTTCCACCACTTTCGCACTGATTTTATCTTCCACTACTCAAATTCATGATATCCACCATTTCCACCAACCTATCGCCATAACGTAGTTTTTACATGTTTGCAGTGTATTTTTGTCTCAAGGCACGGTTGTTAAAAAACGCTGTTTTAATCGAATAAGATTTGAATCTGACAATACTGTCGTCCATGGTTTTCGTTGTACTCTGTCATTTATCACGTGGTTGACATGGTAAATGAACAATGACAACGAGCAATAATTTCTTCAGAGAAGCTGCGTTTGTTGGTGAAATAATACAAAAAATAAGACATAGTAAATTATGAATACGTCGTACGTTGTGATTTTTCTGACACAGCAATTAAAGTGGACAAAAACTATCAGAAGTCCCGAACAGAGGTGCAAATTAACAACTCTAAACATGCGACAAACAAGCAACTTCATCAACCGTCAACGTTTCGGCAGTCTTTTTTAATTAATTTGTTCAATGAAAAAATGGAAGACAGTGCCCGAAGCCAAATTTATACAGATCTGGCAAGCGTGTTCCTGCAGTCAGGAATCCCATTGGATAAGGTAAGTCGCCAAAGCACTTTTTTAGATACGAAAAAATCTATCCGGATGAGAATAAGGAAGAATTACATGCTTCCTATATATGAATCTGTAATCCAGAATATCAGATGTAGAATTGGAGAAAACTTTGTGTTCTTTTTTACTGGAAGAAACAACCGATGCGCTTTCCCGATACGTACTAAATGTTCTAGTGCTTCCACTGGATGGAGAACCTGCTAAGTCATGCATAGCCAACATAATGCTCGTCTAATGAATTTATGTGGCCCGCAATTAATCTTTCAATATTAGCTACTCAAGTCCGAATAGCTCGATGAAAAAAAAATTCTAACGCCTAAAAAAAAGGTCAACAACTCACTGTGCGTTTAGACTTAACCCTCCATCACAAATATCTTAAATACAGTGTAGAATGTTGATAAAACATGATAATGTGAAAAATGTATCTGTAATCTCTATGTACAATTTAGTCTCTACGGGGTGACACCACAATGAGACCTCGCACCACCTCAAAATCTTTCTAGGGCAGCCTCTGGTTCGGCCCGTGAAGAAAGTTTTCTTTCCAATTCGGCCCGGGGTAAAAACTGTTGGCCACCCCTGTGCTAAGCCAATGTTGTTGAAATCTGTCAGGTCTTCGTTAAATCTTCTTAATGTCTACGTAAATCGTAAATAAACTTGCCGCATTTACGTTGGCCCCTCTGTTCCGAATCGCCAATTATTTGTTTTTGAACCGCATATTGATAGGAGGTTCATTACAACGTATTTGCAAGTATTTATTCATTATTATTGGTATTTATCCGTTTCCAGTGACGAAGATTTAGCCTATCATACACCAATATTACGATCGCCACCCCTCGCAGATTGCAGAGATTAAGCGAGAACTCGCTGTATTTTGTATACGGAATTATACATTTTCAAATTTATATTCTAAGAAACTACTTACAAATAAAATAATACTTTTAAGATAACCCAATATTTTTTAAGTAATTATTATTTTTCAGATATGGTATTTAGTATTTTTAATTATACCGACTGCCATTATCGTTCTCTACTTAATTATGAAATATGAGTGGAAGTGGAACAAAACAATTTACCCCCATGTAAACAGAATTGCTTGGTTCGTAGTAACTAGTTTTACCGGACAAGGTAAGTTCCTACAAATAAATATTTAGATATACATGGTTTCAATTGCTGCTTTTTGTAGGAAACGATCTGGTGGACGGTGCGGGTTTTATTACCAGATGCTTTATTTCCGGATGGTGGTTGTCAGTCTTTGTTCTCATCGCTAGTTACGGCGGTATGTTAACGTCTTTCATGAACAATCCCGGTTTCGAAACCGCACCGAGAACGCTTCGAGAATTAGAAGACGGGATGCGGTCCGAAAAATATTTCGCCGGTACTTACAAGAATACGGCAACTGTCAATAACATTATGGTAAGTCAAATCTTAAAGAAAATACATTGTTTCGCAATAAATAAATTTTACTCTACCTCAGAATGCCGAAAGTGGATTTATGAAGACTCTTAGAGATCACTTGAGAAAGTATCCCGAAAATTTACGCCCGCTGAGAGGAAATGTGTTTCCTAAAGACAAAAAAGCATTCGCATTTTTTTCACACGATTTGTATCTTTCGACTTTCGGTCCTTCTTACTTAATGTCTAAAGACGAATTATATACAGTATATCAAACATTTGTCGTCTCTAAACATTTTCCTTATAAGGAAGCTATGGAAAAAATGTAAGTATACATTATATATAATTTAAATATATATATAATTTAAAATCAATAATTTTTCTTTTTTCTTTAATTTTTCAGTAATCAAAAGTTGTTCGAATCCGGAATATTACATCAATGGGAAAAGAAATTAATCGAAACTTGGTCACACTTTACAGTAACTAGTGAAGAACCTGTTAGATCTCTCAACGTGTACGATGTTCAAGATGCCTTTTATATTCTGCTCTTAGGATACTTAGCTGGCATTTTATGTCTTATTTTAGAAAACTGCAATCGCTATCGAAAATCTACATTTTTTTAGTCATAATGTTCTTTACATACGGTGTATCGGGGATGCAGAATATGTCTGATCGGGGACGCGAACGAGGCTGGGAGGAAATTAAAGCGGTTCCAAAAAATTTACGGTAGAAAAAATATTATGGCAATAAGCCGTATAAATGTTACAATAAAATAATATAGTAACGACTAGATTAAGTATAGACATTAAATAAGAAAATTGGCTAAAACATGGGAAAACTGCGTGTTTTAAGAGAAATTGCAACGTCGTTTCTCATCGTTCTAGTCACTTGTCAGGTTGCTGCCTGTCTACACATTTGCATGGAAGATTCTGTCTCACGAACCGCGGTTTCAAAAATCGAACCCGAAAAAGAAAATGCGGGTTCCTTATAAGGAAGGGTTTGTTTTTATTTCAAAACTCTTTTCGATCGAATTAAAACGAAATAGTCACTCGTAACTCTCACGGAAAATTTGCAAATTAATAAACTACGCTTAAAAACTTTTTGAGAATTAAATAGTTAAATAGAAACTTTATCATTTTATAAACATTATTTCTCTCTGTTTCTCTTATTTTTTCGTAAATATATTTCAATATTAATAATTTTTATTTTATAATAAATTTTAAATCATCAAAGTTTTTTCAGATTTTAAAATCATCAAAAATACGATCACATTTTAAAATAATAATAATAATAATAAAGTGGTTAAGAACTGAAAAAGTTTTCTTGCAAAAAATTGCCCGACTCGACATTGTGATAAAGAAATTTTGTTTTTCTTCGACCTCAAAATGTCCATTAATTAGCATCGCGTGCTAAAAAATCACTTATTCATGGAGTCGCGTCGGTGACGATTTTTATTTTATTCGGTCTGTGAAGTTGGCACCCCAATTGTTTTTTTCAAAGTAATTTATGTCATTCGTTTGCCCACCATTTGCAAATAAAAGTTTCATTTACCCACCCTTCAAACAACTTATAGCCCATCAAATTTTGGGTAGTTCTACATACCAGCACCCAAAATTGCATTATTTTTCAAAACTACTTGTGCTGTTTGTTTGTTTACATTATAAGAAAAGTATATGAAAAAATATTTCTTGCATTCGTTTAAGTCATTTATTGTATGCACTATGCAAGTTGACAAAAAGTTAACATATTCAAACTAGCGAGTCTGCTTGGCAATGTCCTGTTTATAGTAAATTTTTATAGATACTCGTACTATCAAAATATGAATAATTTGAAATTTGAAAATGAAAAATGCTGTCGTCGTTACTGATTACTGTTTTCATTCACACATCATAAAGTAAAATAATTATTTTTCTATACTATTCTATAGGCTATATATAGGCTCTAAATTAACAATAGCAATGCAACAACAAATAAAGTAAATTAGATAAAATGACGGTAAATTTTATTTTCATAAATTTGACAAACATACACATATGAAATGTGATCATCTATTACACTCTTTAAAAAACAGCATGATTTTTAAAATTTTTATATTAACGTTTACATAAAATGTAATTACATAAATCATTTAAATCGTGAGCGATTAAAATAATACAAACAAAATTTTGTATTATTTTAATTTGATTATAAACTTTTCATACGTTGTATAAAAAGTTTATAATCACTTGTAGATAAAATAACTAACGGTTTTGTGAGTTGATTTAGTTCGTAGTTTTCGTCAATATTGTTGATATGTACAGTACATATCACAATATACTTTAAACAAATAACATAAATTCGATTAGAAGAGAGATTGTTGTAGTGAGAACAGCTGCAAAATCTTCCGGACTAACTCAGAAAAAAAAATGTAAAACTAATAGTAGTAATTTAAAAATGCTTGATTCGCATAACTAAAATTGTTGTATCAAACTGACAAGTGAGTAATAAACAAAAGTATGCGAGATGTTATATAAAACTGTCCGAAATTTTAATGGGCTATGACTTTTGTCAGAAGGGTGGGCAAATGAAACTTTTTCTTTGGCAAACGAACGGCATAAATTACTTTGAAAAAACACAATCGGTGGTGCGAACTTCACAGACCTGATTTTATTTCCATTAAGCAACATATTACAAGTTTATAGTTGTAAATGCTTTCCCATGACGGCGATACGTGTGTAAATTAATGCGTTTTTTTTCAATTTAAAAATTTTTAATGCTAATTTATCTGTTTAGTTTGGCATATAAAATTATACGGTAGGTCCATTTAATTATTTATGCGATTAAATTTTAATTTTCCAAAATACGTAGTTGTTGTTTTAGTTATCCATTCAGTCGCTCACGACCCTTAGCGACTCTTTTGGCAAACTCCTTCCACAGTTTCCTATCCTGTACTGCTATCCTCAACAGGCTGATAGTCATTATGGTGTCCATTTTCATGGTATCAAATCAGTGAATTCTGTGGCCACGGTCACTCGAAAAATTCACGGTGCGTGCCCTTGCAGTTTCCATGTCTATTTTTGTTTGAGTCTGCATTGCTTTACCTGCTGTCATCACCTTGGTCTTTTTAACATTGAGTTGGAGGTCCATTTTTTCACTTTCAACTTTGACCATAGCTATGAGGAGTCTCAGATCATTCTGCGAACAGGGTTGTGTCATCAGCATAACGAAGACTGTTGACGTTTCTGCTATCTATCTTTACCCCTATATTCAGGTTTTCTAAAGAGGATTTTCGCATGATCATTTCTAAATAGACTACTAACTGAGGACGCCCCCTAGTGGGCGTTCTAGCAGCAGCGCCGTTATTCCGTGGTATAAATAATAAAATTCACATAAATAATAAATTTCTATTACTAATAAAAATAATTTATTGTTTAACAAAAGTATGAGGTAGTCCTATCGTACGGTAGGAGACACGATGCTAATTAAAAATAATTATTTAGTGTTATTAAACATTCTCTAAATACTTTAATATAGTTTATTTTGTTTATNATATAGGACATGGCTATTTATACATACAGTATGTATACACAATTGGCTATTTATACATACTGACTGTATGTTCCAGCTAGATACTGACTGTATGTCGTGCTATAGAAGTGCCGTGTTATACGGGGGTTACCTGTAATAAATTCTTATTACAAATAATTATATACTGTTAATAAATAAATTATACTGTTATAAATAAAATATATACAGTAGGTGATCGGTTAACGAACACTTTCGCGAAAGATTTTTATGTTCGGACAACGAACACATCACACGATCACAGAACAATACAAGAAGAAGCGACGTAAAATAATGAATACCAATTGGTCTTCAGGCAACAATTCGAAACTTTTTGGAGCGCGGGAGACGTCGACATCGACGCTCAACCTGCTATATATTGCTCAGATAGTATTTCTCCGATCTTTGAAACTCTCCCTTGTAATTCCAGCCTTTTATTTTTCTGACAGAAACAATTCTTTTATAGTATTCGCGAGACTGTCGGGTAGGCACTCGTTATTTTGCGTCGGTTTTTATTTTCGAAAGGTGAGAATATAATAGCAAAGGTAGTGACTGGGCAGATGTCTAATGTTGCTGGGCAGTATGGCTTAAACAAATCTACAGTAGGGCACAGTTCAATCTTATCTAAGAAAGATACAGTATAATCAAGAAGACTCAAGCAAATTAAGCAGTAACAAAACTCACATCTGAGAAATAAAGAACATTGAAGAGCTCATAATGGAACCTGAAACTGATCTGACGACAAAAGAACGCCAAGAACTCTTGAATGAATAACACCAAGAAACTCGGCAAGATGTTTTCTTCTGAAAAAGAGGATTGATGCCGCTATCTGCTATTAAAGATCTTTTGAAGAAGTGGGAAGATGTCAGAACAATGGTCTTAGAATGGCATCCAAACCAAGTTGAGGTTAATAGGCTTGGGGATCTCTACAATTATAATGCTATTAATTACTTCTGAAAAATCCTAAAGAAGAGAGAAAATCAATCGACATTACACAGATTCTTTAACCCCTACAAATGGAAAGAAACGTGACTAATAAAAATGCAAGACTGTGTATATATGTATTTTTATTATTGCATATAAATAAAGGAAAGTATGTAATTTTTTAATTTTTGGATCTCCAGAACGAATTAATCAAATTCCCATAAAAACTTACGGTAAATCGATAATTGGTTAACGAACAATTCGGATAGCGAACAAAGTCTTGGAACGGATTATGTTCGTCAACCGATCACCCACTGTACTATAATTTTAAATAATAGCTGAAAATCATCGCTAGGGACGCCCCCTATTGCGCGTTCCAGGCATTCTGTGACNAATTAATCAAATTCCCATAAAAACTTACGGTAAATCGATAATTGGTTAACGAACAATTCGGATAGCGAACAAAGTCTTGGAACGGATTATGTTCGTCAACCGATCACCCACTGTACTATAATTTTAAATAATAGCTGAAAATCATCGCTAGGGACGCCCCCTATTGCGCGTTCCAGGCATTCTGTGACAGATGACAGGTGGGATCAATGGCTTATATAAGATGTTGAAAAGACAGGGTGACAAAATACATTCTTGTCGGACAACCTTACAGATTTTGGCCAGTCTGTGTAACCATGTGCTGTCTTCATTGTGGCTTCTTAATTGGTGTACAAAGACTTTATGAGCTTTATTAAATGTGCTGAGACACCAAATCCTGTAAAGCTTTCCATAGCTTATCGTGATCCGTATAATCAAATACCCAAATGTAGTCGATGAAGTGTGCATGTGGATGTTCTGGAATTCATGCGCTTTCTACACGACACGATTTGATCACGCATGTCTCATCCATGTCGGAAGCCTGCTTGTACATCTGAACGTGCCATAATATATAAATTTTATACATAATATACATCTCAAGATCATACAAGAAAGGTTAAGACGAATTATTAAAACGGCACGTTCAGATTTAATTAAAATGCCTCAATGTCCTTGACTTACTATAATATATAAATTTTCGTCTACAAGTACGTATTTTCTAATATCAGGACTTATAACACTGGCTTTACAGAAGTTTTACTATACTTTTATTATACTGCTACAGAGTTTTACAGAAAACAACTTTTTGTTTTATTTAATATACCTGTATATTAAATAACTGTAATATTGTTAACTATGTATATAACTGTTAAATATATAATGTTATTATGTTATGCTATGTTATGTTGAATATATATTGTTATATATAACTGTTAAATATTAAATACCTGTATATTAAATAAAAATTTTGTTTTATTTAATATACTGGTATATTAAATAAAACAAAAAATTGTTTTCTGTGAAACTGTAGCATTATCTGTAAAGCCAGTATAATAAGTCCTGATATTAGTAAGTCAAGGACATTGAGGCATTTTAATTAAATCTGAACGTGCCGTTTCAATAATTCGACTTAACCTTTCTTGTATGGTCTTGAAATGTATCTTTCTTGCATGTGGGATAAGGGCTATTGTACGATAATTTGCGCAGTCACGTGAGTCATCTTTCTTTAGAATAGAGACATTGATTTTTTTCCAGTCCTGTGAGAGCTCTATAAAATAGAGAAAAATCTGTAAATTTGAAAACTATGAACATAAATTTAATTTCTCAAAAAATAAATTAAAAAATCTCAAAAGTCGCTACTTTTGGATGATTTGTCTGAGGTCTCCGCTACCTCTCTACGTCCCTCTAAAAGTCGCCACAGTTGGGAGCAGACATCTAGGGTCTAATTAAGGCAAAATGTCATCGAAAAACCGCGCTGTAGAAAGGCAGAAAAATTTAAAATTTAAAAATACTATATAATTTCTCGTGAACAGTAGTTTGGTCCTCCCTTCTAAGCGGGCCCTGTGCGGGTGCACCTGTTGCACCTGCCTAGTTACGGCTCTGAATGTAGTACGCTTACATTTATTCAACAAATAAAATATGTTAATCAAACAGCAGAAGGTTCTTTCATTTGATTAGTAAGATTTTATAGCATTCATTTCGATAAATATCTCGTAGTAAGACTTCTATTATTTCTGGCGTAAGAGCCACGTAAGGAGTGTCCACTTAAATATCAGTCCACGGAGCAAGAGAGATCTTTCTGGCACGGCAAGAATGCACGATAGTTTCGGCACTGAAATAATCTATTCATAAATTTGCAGAGAAGGTTCATGTATTTTCCCATACTGTAGTACCACCGTCTCGCCGCCATTACGATACTGCAAGAACCGAGAACTATACAATTGAGAATATACTGTAATTGATTTTGAAATTAATAATAGAAATTCGTTCATAATGCTCACTGTTAGTAATTGTAAGGATTTTTATATTTTAAATTATTCCTCGCAGTCAATAATCCTATCTCCTATGTCAAGATATATATATATATATATATAAACGATTTCAACCTCTGAATTTTAAGAGTTAGCTCAATAGGAGATCGACGAAGCGACGTCTCAAAGTTACCGTACTATCCAGAGTTGAACAGAAATTCATTGACAGAGATGTGCTTTCTAGTCGTCATTATATTCCGAAGTATACAAGTAAGTAATAAATAATCAAATCAAAAGAAAAAAAATCAATAAAAAAAATCCCAGGTACTGGTACAATTCCACCAGCACTGAAGGAAGTCAAACAGCTCCCTTTTACCATTTATATATTTTAAATTCAACTAATCTGAACAGATACTACCTTTATAAAGATCTATATATTTAAAACATATCTTAAATATGGGAAAATTTCAGATCGTCTTTCTTGATTTCCTTTATCACGTTAGAATAGTTTCCGTTTACTCTTCTCTAATTAATTAACCACTTATATACGCTTTCAAAATTTTATTTTAAACTTTTTAAATTTTATTTTAAAAGCACACGCACGATTCTCTCGTTTTTCCGAAGTATGAGCGCTTACGGGAAGAGAATAATAGAAAATAAGGAATGTGTTCTCTTTTCTATTCTGGTAAAATAAGAACCGGCCTTAACACAATAAAGCTGGTTTTTGTATCGATTTCAGCAATCTTGTCCCTATAGTTTACGGTCGGAGATCATTTCTACATTACGTTAAATCGTCTGAAATCTCTTTCTTTCCGGCAAACTTCCGTCCGGACGGAAGTTTAATCGGACACTCCTAATACGAAAAGAAAGAATTTTCTTATATGGGGTGTCCGCTTAGATCCATTTAATTTTCAAATGTATAATTATTTAAAATATACTCTCTCCACGTCAAATTAGTAGTATGTCTTGTCTTTGTACAGTACATCTTACTTTTCCTGTTAGTAACCGGAGTCATGCCGGTCATCTAATTTCTTTTAGGGAAAAATTTTTGAATTGAATTAACATGACTTCCTGTTTTCATCGAAAGTTCGTTTATAGTTAATCGGAGGGAGCCTCGTGCCCCTAAGCTTTCCATATTTGGTCTCGACTTTCTACTCGTATTTAACTCCGTTATCGAGATTAAGGAAGGACAGACAAACGACAAGGGGAATTTACAGGTCTACAATTTTTTTCAAATTGCAGCCCAACAATGTCGTACGACGAACATCTATTCTTCTAACATTGTTATACATTGTAAAAATACGAAAAAAATTTAGTTTAATAATCGAAATAAACATATTCATGTTATCGATCTAAAACGGTGAAATAATTCTGTATAAAAGTTGAATATTGTTTGATGCGGTTATAAAATACTGTACAACGCTAAAAAATTTCGGTTTCGAACAAACGAATTTCTTTTGTTTTAACATACAATAACAATAAATTCAATAGTATTAATTTTTTTATCTTAATTTATCCATAGCGCCCTCAAAAGAACAGTAAACAAGATTAAATTTTTTAACTTGATAAATCATTTTCTTGTTTTTTATAGTGAATAATATGTAACCGTAATTATTTTTTATTTCATTCGCTGCCACATTTATCCTCGAGCCTTTCTTCTCCAAAGAAGCTAGTGGCGACTGGTCGGAAATACCGAGAGACACTAGACACTTTTGTCGTACTCGACTCGGTATAAAATAAAACTTTGGAAAGAGTAATGACGATTACGAATTATAAGAGTTATATTACCATTTAAATTCGATAATTAATAAATAAATAAGAATTTGTAATAATAAAACTATTCTATAATTTATTAATTTTTTTAAAATGGTAGTTTTTCCAAATCAATTATTTCCGGTTTAGGTTTTTTACCACCGGAAACTTCGGCTTCGTTCGATAATGTTGATGCGTTTCGTTTGAATGATGGAAAGTCCAGTGTAATTTTAAATTTATCATCCTTTAGTAAATTTGCTTTCACACCTAGATAGATAAAAATAAAACAAATTATTCATTAAATTTTTATCGAATTACGTAACTAATTTGTAATTGGATTAGTATAATTTTCGTAAAATTTAAATTAAATTATTCCCAAAATGGACAGTATCTCTCTGATTTGGTTTAATCGAATTTAATTATAAATAATTAGATAAAATAATAAAAACATAATGGAAATTCAACCTTTAATAAATTAATACTAATACCTCTTCTGTAAAAAGTTTGCAAATTTCATAATTTGCGGTAAGTACTTAGGAATATACCAGTGGAACAATACTCAAATAAATTGCGGCTATTAAAATTGGTACACCATGAAGGCGGCATGCAACAAACATGAAATTTGCATGTAAGGTAAAACATGCTGGGTACTCTGTACCTCAAGATTATCTATTAATTTAATCATGTCTTCTTCCCATTGTAAGAGATTTCTCAACAAAAGACATCTGTGAAAAATTTAAAAATGTCCCATTTATAAGCGCCTGTCATTGGGAAGAAAACAAGAAAATTTTCAACATTTTATTCTTGCAATAAAAATTTATAAATAGTAACTTTTATAAACTATGCAAAACCTAAATCTATGACTGACTCCTCAATTTTAAGAAACACCCTTTTAATGTCTCGATTTCTATTCTTTGTCCAAGATTTCACTCACTCCAGTTCTTCAAATATTTATTTTACCGAGAAATCATCTACATTTATTTTTCTTTTTTTGTTTAACTTTATTACATCAATTTTTCCTTCGACACTAAATGTTTACATTTCTGAGACCTTTTTATAACAGATTTACGAACCTTCAGAAATGATTGTCAAAACACGTTGAATCGTGCAGGTAGCACCGTAATGTCAACTGACATTTCAAGCATAAAGTTGGGTTTTCAATATAAAATTTTAATTTTTTAAGTTTTAATTATTTTTTCATATCACATTTTAAATGTTTTACGTAGTAAAAAGTGATCATAAAGTAACTTTTACAAAGCTAATAGCGAGGTTGCGGCCGAAGTTTTCATCTCTACAACGTGAACGTCGAGCATCAAGCGCCCCTCAAGATAGCGGCGCTCGATATTCGACGTTCACGTTGTAGAGATGAAAACTTCGGCCGCAACCTCGCTAAAAACACAAACAAATACTTTTATTCTGGAAATGAAAACACAGAATTTACCTGCAAACACTACGCTATATTTCTCAACAAAATCATCCAGTCTGCCAGGCATTTATCAAAATGTGCAATGAGTTCTTTTCGTCCTGTCCTCAAAAATCCTTCTCCCTATTGTTCGGCAATAGAGCATTGAAAATTTCTATTTCTTTATCGGTATTACGTTAGTTTTAAATTTTAGCCCTTCTAAAGCTACTTTTTAATCATCCCACGCATTTTCATATTTTATTGAAACGTTAACCAAAATATTAAAGGTAAAACTTTTATTTTTAAATACTTTGGACTTTTGTCTAGGGTTTGTTCACTTGGTTGGGATAGTGCATACTTTTACTTCAATTTTAATATCATTTTTTTAAAATTTGTTCGTTGTAACATAGAAGAGATGACATAAAACTGACATCAAATTATATACATTTAATATGAAATGAACAACGCTTTAATTTTCTTAGTATCAAACAGTTTTAGCATATGTCCATTATCTGTATTCTTTGTTTAGAATGCTCGCTAATAAGAAACAAAGTATTTATGAAAATCAATGTAAATCTGGTGTAAGTTATCAAGAAGTGTCCATGTTTGGATAGCCACTATTAAGCCTAAGATGCATTACCCTTGGATAATCTTCATTGTTATTATTTTCATGTAGATTTATTATTTCATTTTTTCTTACAGGAATGCCTTAAATTAAGGATTTTTAATATGTTGCCTAAGCTAAGGCTTTAAGTAAAAACTATTTCTCGTTTAATTTTTTATTCATTACACTCTTTGTACAGTACATATTCTGGGCCTCTGAAGCCAGTATATGTTTATTATTGTAAATCTGGAAATTTTCCTTAAAAAACTTTGGTAAGAAGTATAAGCAATTCTAGCCCAAATTTAACAATAAACAATTTTTTTACTAGTGTCCCATTACTCATCTATATCCTAAATAAGAACATTACTGTCATTGGCACAGTACATTAAGGCAGAATAAGCAAGATGTTCCAAAAGAAATAAACCATCAAAAACTGTGTGGCACATTCCCATTGTTCTGTCTCCAAAATAACGTGACCACAATCAGTTACACACCTAACAAAAATGTGTGCATTCTTTTATTGAGTACTATACATTGCAACACTGTCATCTATGAGGACAATAAAAACTAGAGATAATTCTATATTATTAACAAAATAAACACTCATGTTGATGTAATGGATCAAAAGGTTAAATACACATGCAAATGGTAAACTAAGCATTAGCCACTAGCATTCTTTATGAATAAGACAGATGTAACTGTACCAAAACACACTAATCATAGTTACAAAAGAACACCAAAATTATAATCAAGATGTAACAAACAAATGCAAATTATTTTTGAAGGATTTGGCAATACAATTAGTACTACCTGGTACAAATGCAAAGAGAATCTGCAAATCCTTTATTCCAGAAAAAAACGACAGAGAGCATGACGCATTTTATAAAATTTGCCAAACTGTCGTCAGTGCAAGATTGACAGCCGGATGGCAGAGCGGTCAAGGTGTCAGCCTACCACTCTGATCGAATCCAAGTGGGTTGAAAAATTCCAGGAATTTTTCAGGGTTTCAGGTAAGTTTGGCTATAATGTAATAATCTTAATCTTCGCTATCATTACTTTTTGCCCGAGCAACGCCAGGCTTATCTGCTAATTTAAACTATAAACTAATTTGGACCTAAAATGTCCAGCTTATTCAGTGAATTTGTATATCAAATGATATCTACATCTTAACATTAATAAACATAATAAATATATATATATTTATTCAGAAAAGGGAATAAACCAAAGCTGGATCATTTTGTATTAATAAATGTATTTTATGGAAAACAACAACAGAATTTTCATTTACTCTTGTTTTTGAAAAGTAAGTACTTGTAAGCAGAATGTAAATATTTAGTATATATTATATTTTTTTTAGTTTTTTTTATATGGAAGGATTAACCAGTTCCTTTAAAATACATATAATTACAGGATTTTTTCTATACATGAGATAATTTATCAGATAACATTTAAAATAATCATGACCAAAAAAAAAACAAATTTAAATTTATATTAAATTTCCTTTTTTTTTACTTTTGTATTTCCCCAGAACAGGAAATCTGTAAATCTCTAAATAAAGAATATAAAAGTCTATTATGAATAAATTATCATTATATATATATACAGTGATAATTTATTACAGTGATTATATATATAACTTTACTTTTAATATAAATTAATTGATATCAAAGATGATCAGACATCTTTTTAACTCCCTATTAACATTTGTTCTATAATCGCAATGTAGCGTAATAACGATCACTTGGCACTATTCATGCATATCAACGAAAAGTGAACAGTACGCGCTGCTGGCTTTTCACATGCAAAATTTATGCATGTGCTCAATAAGGTAAAGAAAGCACTATTTCCAAGCACCACATTATGCAGCAAGAGAGAGTCTTCGAAAGTACAAATAGCGTTGCCTTACCTTGGACCCCTATCTTTACGCATCTGCAGAATCTTTAAGCAGCGCAATCTTGTACTACCTTTAACCCCACTTCCAAGCCTACGCAAACTTATTTGTAATGATAGAGACAAATTTTCCACTCTTGAGAAGTCGGGGGTCTATGCTGTACCTTTGGAAAATCAGGCTACGGGAGTAAACACAAGCTATATCGGGGCCACCACTAGAATGCTTGCCAGCCGCCTTGATGAGCACCAAGACAATGTTATGAGGGGAAGACACACCACCAAGCTCGCAAGAAAGGTACTTGAGCAGGGTTACAACCCACTATGGTTCCAAGCGGTTATGCTCAAGAGCTGCAAGGATCAAAAAATTGTTTTTATATGGGAATCTCTCCTCACTACCACCTTGGACACTTGCAACAACCCCATGCTCGATCTGCCCAGTGTATGGGTCATGCTGTATAGGCGTTTAAGCGAGTATTAGCAGTCTCTAGTATGCATGTAGCGTGAGCATGGTTCTCCCACTTCAGCGTGAAGTGCGAGCCAGCTCGCATTTCACGGAGCTAACTGCTTGTTCGGTTTTTGAATTATGTTTAAATATTTATTTCGTGTTCTTAACGGCTTTAACAAAGATTCAACTTATATTATGCGTTCTATCCTGCATTGGATTATTTCCATTTAAAAAATTTTTTTTCGGTAAATATCTGTATTCACCTGAGGACGACAACTATAAGTTCGTTGAAAGTGCTTGCGATAAAAAACGTATGCATGTAAAGCTGAACTCAGTGTCTTTATTTTTGTAATTACATATTAATTTGGCATGTTAGTCATCCTATTGATAACTTTTATATTATTAATCATAATAAATAGAATTGTATGTGGTGCCATCTATTACAAACTTTTATTATAAAAGTATTTTTATATTATTAATTATTATAAAATGACAAAAAAGTTAATTTTGACGGTAAATATGAGTTTTATTAAAACAGAAACTGTAAATGCTAATAATGAGTAAAATCTTCATCAAGTATGACCCTTCTGAAGATATGACACATGACCCTGCTCTCTCCTCAAACTCTCAACCTTTAACCACAAAAATTTAATAGCAACAATGCCTCTTACACACAAAATACCATATCAGATTTTGTTATTTAATACCCCATCCCAAGATATAAAACAAAATGGATACCAAAACACACAATTTATTTCATTTTTTTGGGGGTTTTGAAGGTCTGAAAACATGGAGATTTGCAAAACCCTCAGAGTCAAATTTGACACAATTTCCAATTTCAATTTCAATACTTTCTTTTGTTATGTACACATAACAGCCAGGAAAGAAAAACTTTAAAACTATTTCATTCCAATCATTATGACTGTGTTGTTTTGAATATTAAAAACAAAAATTTAATTTAATAATTCATTATATGAAAATTAAACTATTATATAATATATTTAGAGTTTATATATAAATTTGCATACCTTTATTAATATAACTTATTGTCGAATATGGTGTGAAATGAAAGTCTTCCTTCAAATAACCTTCTAAAAGTAAATATGTTACAACCCGTTCACAGATGTCACGAGACAGTGTAACTGATTGTACATTTGAAGGTCGTAGTTTAGAAGGGCCTTTTCCACACCATGCATCTATCAGTTTCAAAGCTGTCAATTTCTCATCTTGAGCTTTAGCATGATCAATAATTTTATATAACGAGAAACAATATTTTGTGATATCTTTTTCCTGACCTAAAATTACAACATTTTAATAAAACATTTATTCTAATATAAGCCTATAAAGTGAAAGTAAGAAATGAAATATAAATATGAACTATTTTTATAACAAAACATTTAACAAACGTTAATATCAATTTCTATTGATATTAATGTTTGTTAAATTCTAAAAACCTAAAAAGATATATAAGGTAATTAAAAATCTATATGAACTCTGTGGCATGACAGATCACAGAAAAAAACATTGTGTGTGTGACAACTCAAGTTCCCTGACATGTCATATAAAAAGCTACAAGATCATACAGACTGATCTTAGGTGACAGATAATACAATAATGAAAGAAAGATAACATGAAATATGCACTTATTGTTGCAAGTGCACTTGCAGAGAGTCTACAGAAGGTGTTTGAAGTGCCCATCTTGATCCTTGATACATTTTATGACACCATTATAACAGTTACTGTCAGACATAATCAAACATGAAAGGTGTGTCAAGTTAGGACAAAAACAGCATATAAGGTGTGTCCCATAAATATAAAAGCACTAATAGATTTCCATATAAAGTGAATCATTCACACAGAAAAATTTTCCAAATCTTATTTATTTTTAGTTTATTTTAAACCTTAAAAATATATATTTAAAAAAATAATAATAATTTATTAATTAAAACAAAAAACAATTTTAAACAAATAGCTTAAAGTTCACTGTCCCAAAAATATAAAGGCAGATTGATATTAAGATAGAAGAGGTCAAAAATAATCCTGCAGAAACTACTAGAAATGTCTATTTGGTTAGAATCACTAATTTAACAATGGGCCAAGGTAAACTCCTAAAGGCTTAGAGAATGATGAAATTCTTTCTCTTACAGGTGAAAATTACTCTGAAAGAGAATTGCTAAAAAATTAAATCAGTCATCCATTGTATTTGACAACTTTATTAAACTTGGAAATCAATATGGTCAAAAGAAAACAACAGTAAACCCTTCAAGGCTTACAAATAAAGCAAAACAAGCCATTGTTTGCCAGATTTCATCAACTCAGAAGTTAGCAGCAAAGGCCAAATGTTTTGTTGGCAAATCAACTATTGGAAGAATTGTACAGAAGGTTGATTGCATTCCATAATGCCAATTTGCATATTACCCAAAGTTTCAGTTGTAGGAAATAGAATAAAAGCAACTGGCCCATGGCTGCTGTATATTCTGAGTTTTACTTTTGATAAGTAAGATTTATCTATTGCAAATATGCCACCTAAAATTTCAGACTTTTGGGCAAGTTATGTAATTGTGCTTTCCAACGCAAAATATTCACAAACTCAGATTATTAAAATGTGCAAAAATCATGGTTTCGACATTTTATGATATGGGATACAGTCAGTTCTCAAAAGAAATGATTTGCAAGAGCCAGGACCATCAAGTGTTTCAATCTGGCCCAGAAAAAGGAATGCCTCAAGCTGCACACCAGAGGTGATAGAAAAACTGTGATGACTGATCAGTGGTTCAAATCCAAAATCCCAGAGTGTTGGAATAGACCAGGCCACAGTTCATGCCATCATTCACAAGAATTTGAAACTGGAGAAATGCCATAAAGGTCACATTCACAAGCTGCTGTCTCATCACATCCAAGAATGAAAGAACAACTGCTGAAAACTGTATGAAAAGTATCTTTCGGTAAACAACTGACAGTTTGTAGTCATGCTATATGAAGCATGGGTGTATTGAACAATTGTAACAAATCATGGGCAATTTACTACAGTCCATCAGATGGGAGACCATACCAAAAATGGTTCAAGGAATGTCGCAAAAGTTTTCCATCAGGCTTTATAGTCATTGCGGGATTGTTATCATGGTAAACTAAACATCAGAAAAGTTTTAAAACATTAAAATTAATTTGACGTACTACCAGACTAACATTCTGGAACCTCTATACTGTGAAGAGATCCCTGCATTGTACAGAAATGACCAAACAAATGTATGGGTGCATCAAGACAAAGCTTCCAGTCATACCTCCAAATCAACGAGATTTCATCCATTTATTGGATTAGGAAACAGAAATCCATAACATCCCTTTTGATGACATTCCAGTGAAGTCACCCAGCGCAGCTCCAATAGGCTACTGTGCATTTGGTCTATTGAAACGAGCTGTGGGAAGCCATCATCCAAAAACAATGGCAGCTTATGGAAAGCCTGTAAGGAGGAATGGGACCATTTGGACATGAATGTTCTTCAAAGAAGTCTTCTACAGTGGAAACTTTGAAGTAGGGCTATAGTTTCACAAAATGGCCATCAGATTGAACATAATCAAAACTGGCGCCATCGCATTTGGGTTACTTTATAGGCCTCTTAATTCGGCATTATGTAATGCGATCAACGCTCTGTACAAACATGTTGATAACTTGTATATAAGTCAAGAAAACTTGCCCCATCACTAAAGCTCACTGACAAGGAGAAATGTTTACTCTGAGCCAAGGAAAACATGAGCTGGACAAACATGTGAAAACAAATCATCTGGAGTGACAAGAAAAAAAAATGATTGGAGCCATTAATGACATGATTTGAGAAGGGAGGAATTATGGTATGTTTTTAGTTGGCAAGGAAAGACTCCACTTGCTTTTTTTTACAAGAGCATACAGAAGGAAATGATTATCAAGATATGTAGGCAAACAATCTCTTGCCTTTTGCAGACCATATTGTTAGAATTGATGGTTCTTTCAACAGGACATATGACTAGTTTTTAGGAAATGGGGTGTCTATTATTGATTGGCCAGCTGTATCTCCTGATCTTAATCATCTTAATCCAACGTTTGGGGAATTCTGGCGGTTAGAGCTGTATATGCAAATGGGCAAAAATATAATAGTGTGGAGTCAAGCATGGAAGAGCGAGTTAAAGACCTGTAATGGCTGTCAGTGAACTACCTCACTAGCCAATTATATACTGGACATTGCCAATAGCAACAACTACCTAAAGAGAATTGGCAGGCGTCGATCTGCAGTCTGCGATTTTGGAAAAGAGTGTGGTGACTTTGATCACTTATTTCTTAAATGCTACAAATATGAAAGAGAAAGAATGGAACTCAGGATTTTATCTCAACAGCATTATGATTCACCCAATCTTGAACTCTATCATTTAATAAGGAATAAAAACCTAACGCAAGCACTTCGGACCTTTGCAAGAAGGATCTTTATGTAAAGGTAGGGAAGAAAAGTCATCTCCTTCACCTACTTATTGGCACGTTGCCGATTCATGTATTAGTTAGACAAGAACTCTGTTAATTAGCTAAGTTTATATATCTTTGTTTGTATATTTGTAAGTTTGTTATATTGCTGAATAATAAATAAATAAAAAAGCAACATCCTCCTTGTGGTGCTCTTGCAGGACAAGGATGACTCTGATCCCCATGATGATCATCAAATAAAACAGAAAAAAAAAAAATTGTGTGGAGTAACTGAAACAAGTCATAATTCCTCACTGGAAAGAAATAAGCATATCTGTCCTCTAAAATCTCCTACAATTAATGCCAAACCACATTTGCAAAGTTATTTTAGTCAAAGGAGCTAATCAAAATTGGTTATGTTATTGTTAAATATAATTTATTAGCATGTCATCACAGATATCCCTCATATAACATGGTAGTTACGTTTTGAAAAAGTGCCATATTATGCAAAGCCATGCTATATGAAACAAAAGACTAGTGCAAAACATAGAGTTAGGTTCCAAAAATTAACAAAAGTATACTATTCTTTTTTGTTACTAAGAAAAATATGTTTATTAAAGCATTCAATAATTTATTTCCAATCAATAATTAACTAACAATCACAATTAAAAGAACTGTATTATGCATTAATATTAATTTTAGTTAAATGAGGGGCATTTTCCTTTTATAAAGTATCATCATCATCTCAGCTGTTTAATCAGAAATATCCACAACTTGTTAATTTTTTAAACCTTTTTATCATAAAAATTTTTTTTATGGATGATGAAATAAAAATATGTTATTAATCAAAACTTTGTTCTAGCAAGTTAGATTTGTTCAGTCAAGTAGCAAATGATTTATTTTTTCCAAAATTTGTGTTTGAATACTGAATTGCTTGAGTTGAGAGCAGTTCAAATACCAAGATACTGCTATATTTTGTTTGTCATTTTTACAAATGATTATTTACCTATGGTTAGAAAAAGTTTAATAACACTTACCAAAAAATGTTTAAATAAACTTTACTAAATACAAAGATTAAGCTATAAAAACAAAACACAGTGGGTCTTAAAGGCTAAAATCTGAAAGCAACAACATCAATACATGGTTGATAGGAAAGCTAAGACAAGGACAAAGAAAACTGTACTATCAGTTTTCATTAAAGTAAACCTGAAGAAAGGCATAAAACAAATTGAAAATTTCAATATTCTAAAATCCAAGGGCAAATTTGACACAACATGCACTTGAATAAAAAAATATCAAATAATGGAATTTATGCTTAAAAATTGTGAAATTTTATACAGAGAATTTCCCAAATTCTTGAACCATTTTATAGCAAAACCATGTTGAAAAATGTTGTACAAGGGATACCTATAATTGTTTCAGTTAATTTTGCTATATGCCCATATATTTTTTGGACAGTCTAACTGATTAAAATTATTGGTTATTTTTTATATCTCAATAAATAATTATTGTTTTTTAAATGTGCATTTGTGAAAGTTCAAGCAAGCCAAAAATAAATTATTTTTGCAAAATTTTCAGTATGAATGGTTTCATACAGAAATCTATTAGTGCCTTTATATTTTTGGGATGAACCTTATTCACACAATCAATTTCTCCATAGTGTCAACCAGAGTGGCATATATGATATTACTCACATGTATCCAAAGAATGAAATCAAGACTTGTTACAAATTTATGGCACCTCATTCTCATTGAAAGAGGTTGTGTAGCTCCAAAACTATGTTTCAAGGTGCATGAAATGTTTGTCTCTGCGAGACCTATTGTGCCACAGAGTTTGTCACATAGGTCTTGACTCACCCTGTATAAAAATTTAAAATTCAGATTTTGCCAAATATGAATAACTAATAAACTTTTAAATTCTACTTCTTTTAGAATCATTTAAAAATACCTGTATTTGTTGATCTGCAATGATCACACATTTTATTACAATCTAAATTATTCCATCTCTCTCCAAAATGCTCTGCAATAATTGCTCTTCTACACCTTTAATAAAAAATAAGTAACAAATTTAATTAATTAAAGAAAAATCAAGGTTTGATCTAACTATAAGCTAATGATAAAATTTTCTGAAATACTATATAAAGCTATTATATTATTATAGTCAGTATCACAACAACAGAAACTATGTAAATATAGATTTTATTATAAATTAATGTTAAATAAAATGATATATTAATTATTAAAAAAATGAAGATAATTATACATTTCTTTTTTCATTACAGACTTGTTAACAAAAGTTGCACATAAAGGAAACTCTGAAATAAAATGGAATTTTATAACAACATATACATCGACCCAATTCAATTAGAAATGCGAAACAAACTGACAAATTATTTATTTAGCTGTAAACAAGGCCAATTTAACAATTACATATAAAACAACTTGGCCATAAGTAGACAGTTTAGGCTGCCATTTAATTAATGATGAATTTAATAATTAGAATTCAGGATCTTCTTGCCTGAATTGTATGGTCTCCCATGTACCAAGCCAAAAACTGAATCCTTCTGCACGATAACGTGCCTTCCCACACTTGTCTCAAGGTGCACCAGTTTTTTGCTAAAAAAAGGGTTCACCTTTTAGCAATCAATCATTCCCCCTATTCACCAGACTTGGCCCCTGCAGACTTCGTCTTGTTCCCCAAGTTGAAACTGGCACTCAAGGGGCAGCATAATATTGACCTAGAGAGCATCCAAAAGAATGTGACAAATGTCTTCAGCCCATAAACTTTCAAAAAATATTTTAAAATGTTTGAATGGCTGTACAAGAGTTCCAAAAAATGTATTGATATGGGAAGGAATTACATTGAATAAAACAAAAAATTTCATTCAAATATCTTTTGTCGTTTTCTTTATATTGGAAAAATCCGGTTTTCTCCTAAGCGCATGAAATAGCTCTAAGCAAATAATGGAGTATTTAGACATTTCTATCTGAGTGCATAATGTTTTGTGGTTAAAGTTTACCTATGTGAACAGTCATGGCCACTCTTCCATCTTGTTTGCGACCTGAGCGCACACAAACAAGATGGCGACCATTGAAAATTACCAATACATGCCTGTTTTTAAATGTTAATTTTAAACTAAAATATATTAAAAACTTAAATTTGCTACTCACTTTTTTCCATACATTTATTTAATTTTCCTGTTATTTTTTCCCCACTTAACAACTTGATTCTACTTATGTTTTAGAACCTTCCTTTCTCTAATTTGACCATTTGACTACATTTTTAGTAGACATTTCCTTCTTTTCTTTTATTTTTAGGTATTCCTTTCTTCTGTTTGCTGGTATCATTGGGGACAGTAGGGACCCACATTCTAACATAACCTAACCTATTCTAATAAATTACCAAATTAATTAGTTTTCTGAGTTTTTCAGCAGAAAGTTCTTCTGTAAAATGCATTAGCAAATTTTTTCCTAGTTTTTAAAGTAGAAAATAAATAAAAGTACAAACATTTGAAAAAATGAACACAGTCAAAAAAAAAACTCAACCTGTGTAAAGTACTATATTATTTTTCCGACTTTCCAACGATTATCGACACTACTGTGTGCCGGAAATAGCCGTTCCCTAACGGGTACTTTACGCGGATTCGCGTTAGTGTGCCAGGCCTGGACTTTAAGCGTGCACCGAATTAAATAATGACAAAGTTTGTCAATAACAAAATCAAATATTTAATTAAACTTCTA